CCCCACCATTGCCACCACCACCACAGTCATTGCTACCTATAACAACCATCACTGTTTCCCACCACTACCACCACTGTCGTTCACCACCTCTTACCCCCACTACAAATCGATGCTTTAATATAAATACAAATATATTTATTGTTTATCATTTTTTATCACTTTGTGCTTTCAGGCACAGGCAATAACTAGTATATATATTAAACAAATAGTAACATTCAAATACAAAACATATTACCACTTAAACACAAAAAAATAGTAACATTCAAAAATAAAAATTAGTAACATTAAATATTAATATTTGAACAAAATAACAGTAGTAATATGGTTAAAAAAAGTAACATTGAATACTGATATTTCGAAAAAGTAGTAACATTCAATATTAATAGTAACATACTCATCAAAAAAATAGTAATATGGTTAACAAAAAATAGTAAAATGTATAGTAACATTCAATATTAAATTAATCATAGTCCTTTCAATAAGAAAAAGAGAGAGAGAAATGGTAGTGATATCAAATTTAAATTTGAATTTTAGATTTTATGGAAAAAAAATCTTTCATTAAATGTGAATCCCTGCCCCCTTCCCCTTCCAAAAAAAAAAAGTCATTAGAAGGGTAATTTGGAGTTTTAAAAAAATAGTAGACTTAACTACCTATTAGTAAGATTAAAAACAGACTTAGTCCCAATTAAATTTTCTTGGCTGACTAAACTCATTATAAGTCCCTTAAAGAGAACTCAATCCCAATTTTCACTTGATTTTGTTGTATAATGTGGCCTTGGAGATGGAAGCCTCCATTTCAAGGGCTTGAAGGATCTAACCAAACAATGATAAAATAGACTCATTGGTAGGGATGATAGTGGATCGAAGCGGAGACCGGGGGGAGGGGTGTAGTCTTCATCCTCGTACCTGCTTAAAAAAATTTTGTCCATCCCTAGTCCATCTCTGTTAACGGGTATAATTTTTATCTCCATCCCCGTTCACAGGTAAATTTGTAATCCCCGCCTTCACCCCCGCCCAAGCCAAGCCCAATATTGTAAATAATTCAAAAAATAAAAAAAATTACATTAACTGAAAATTACCATATAATTCTTCTAATAAACTCAAAAATCAACAAAAATCATATCTAACACTATAATTAGAATTCAACAAAGACTATATTCAAGTTGCATTAAATTAAAAAATTCAGAATATTGCATATCGAAAACAGAAAATCATATGTAACACATGAAAATTGTAGATCTAACAAAAAAAAAAAAATTTAGAGCAACCAACATCTAAAAATCTCATATCTAACACACCATATATTCGAAACAAAAACTCTTAATAGCTAACACAATACAGACCCTTAGATATAAAAAACTTATCATAAATCTAACAAAAACGATCACAAATATAACAAAAGTCATAAAAAAATATAAAGATAATAGATCTTATCTTATTGGACAAAAAAAAAGTAGACCACTGAATTTTAAAATTAACTTTATAGGTGGGTGGGAATGAGATTGAGGTTTATGATCTTATATATATATATATATATATATATATATATATATATATATATCACGGGTTAGTGGGGGCAAGTATTAGTTCATCCTCGCCTCCATCCTCGTGTTGGTTTATACGGGTATTCTCGTATACTTCCACCGTTCAATATGTATGGTCCATTCCCTGTCTAAACGAGGTGGGTTTGAACGAATACCCATTTTTTTCTGGTTCACTGTCATCCCTATTCGTTGGACAATTTTATATAGAGTAATGTTATTTACACCTAAAAATTTGACCTAATTTGTTGACATAATGATATGGTTTCAGTAGAACCATTGAATCAACATCAAGTTTCAATGTTTGATGGAGTCCACAGTTAATTCAAATGTCATAATGAATTAGGTCAATAAATTAGATCTCAATATCATTGCTCTTTTATTTATCACACTCACAACTAGGGGTGCAACGTGGGTGGGCCAATTCGAATTCAACCTAAGCTCAACTCGAAAAAAACAGGGCTTGAGTTAGAATTTGTAATACTTGAGTTGGGCCTGGACAAAAAAAACTCCAACTCGAATTGAATTTAGGCAAGTCTCAGGTTGTCGGGTTCAACCCGAATATTAAAATCAGGTTGAACCAGAATATACATAAATATATAAATATATTTAATTAGGGTTATTATTTATCTTCACTCTTTAGAGTTCAAACTTTCACTTTACTTCAAGTCTTCACCCCTGCGCCTCCATCACTCTTAGATCGTTCTCTCACTCGTCACTCCTCCCTTTCTCAGAATCTCTCTCTCAATCGTCACTCATCTGAGTCGTCTCAGACTCTCACCTCCCTCTCTCACTCATCACTTCTCCTTCTCTCACTCCCTTTCTCTTCATCTGTGCCTCGCCTTTCATTCTAGACCACTTGAAAAAATTAGATCTACACTTGAAAAAATTAAATTTACACTTCAAAAAATTAACCCGAATTAAGTAACTCAAGCTCAACCCGATTTTTAACCTAAAATTAATCCGAATTAAGTAATTCGAATTCAACCAAAGTTCGCTCGATTTAAACTCAGGTTGAGTACCTCAGATTGCAGTAGGGTTAAGATTAGAATTAAAATTAAAAATTATATACCTAAAATTAAGCTTGAGTTAATCTCTTATCCCACCCCTCTAATCACAACCCTTTAAATTCCATTCAAACTCAAGCATGTCATCGAGGTTTATTTGAACCAATTATAATACGGGGGAAAAGGGTGGGCCCCAGCAATGAGCAGTCCATGTGATAGAAGAGAAAGACAAAAAGAATTTGAGATTTTGTACATTTGAGTGATGGAGAATTTGTTCCAAAAAAAAATAAAAATTGAGTGATGGAAAATGATGTGGAATGAGACAAGTATAGAAAAAAAAATTTGGTATCGAATTGACATTTATTATTTTTATGGGTATTATTATCACTGTTGTGATAATTAAGAGTGTTAATTGAATCAAACTTTACAAACTTGAATCCGAACCTAACAAGCTTATTTTTCTAAACGAATTTAAAAAATTGTTCAAGCTCAGATCGTTTAAAACATGAGTCGAGCTTGAGCTAAGTTCTATCTAAGTAAAATCCGAGTAACTTGTCTCGATTAACACCCTTAGGGGTAATTTTGTTTTTATAATTTTTATGATACTTGCGATCAATCTTAACAATATTCACAAAAATTATAAATTATCCTCAAAAGTGATACAAAAATTTGTTAGGAAAGAACCCAAAAAAAATATAAAAAAATTCATTAAAATAATAAAATTTACATGTACAGTACTTTTTTTTTTTTTTGACCTAGTCAATTCCTATGGAATGCCATTTGAGATTGGTACTTGCAAAAAAAAAAAAAAAAAAGAGGAAGACTTAAACCATTCTTTTTAGTCCAGTGCTTTAGAGAATCCATGAGATCTCAAATGGGTTTCTTCTAAAATGGGTGATCTTTTTCAGTGATGGATGCTTTTGTACTAAATTAAACATAGACAATATTTATTGTGGGGGCATTCTTTATTGGAACCATTGGAGTTGTTTAAATGCTATGGCATATTTGATCGGCAAATATGCATGTGATAGTCACTTTAATCTTTTAATACTTACCTCTGAAAGTAATGTTGAAACATTATGGATTTGGAATTAGAAGGCAATTGGAACTGCATTAACAATATTTCGAAAAGTAATTGATTTTCGCCTTTTGAGAATATAGAAAAAAACATTTTTAAAAATTTATCCGTTGTGATATGTATATTGTTGATAAAAAGTTGGTAAATTTTGGATGAATCACTCTCCCATGGCCACTCTTGTGCTTTAATTTTTGAAATTGCAAAATCAAAAATGGTATGTGCGCATGTGTGACTAAATCGACGAGTGTACGGGTGGAGAGTGATTTGGTTTAATTTTTGAAGAAGATAAATAAATCGATAGGTGGTGGGGAGGGGGGGGGGGGGTTCGTTACGAGTTGACAATTATCGAAAATAATATCATTTTATTCTAACATTTCATTTGAGTTTAGGATTATTTTGTTTTAACAAGAAAACATAGGTAGAATATCCATGGCAATTTCCGCTGATGTAATATTGTCAGAGAAAAAGACTAAGCAATATTACTTAGATCGTGAGTCATTTTGGTACGTGATACAGGTATAAATATGAGGAATGACACTTTNAGGTAAAAATATATAAATTAATGGTTATTTTGCATTCTTACCTGATTTAGTTGAAAGACTAAAAACTCTTTTACATTTTTATCCAATTTTTTTGGTTAGTCGTTCAATAGAATCAGATAAAATCGAGTAGGATAAGAAATTACAGTTAATCGAAAATTTTAACACTTTTACCATTTTGTGTATAATGTACACCACTTGATAGTGCTAGGCGATACCTGTCCAGCACTCAATTATGTATAGCATGACTGCATTTTTTTAATCTCCAAACGACCAATTTTCAAAACAAACTTTAGAATTTTGGTGAGTTCCACATCAGCTAAGTATGAATGTCTTGCTAATCTTGAACTTCAATTTAACTAAAATGAGAAAAATATAGCTCAATATGTTGTGACTTNTTATTATCAAAAATAATATATATTTATAAATCTATATACACATAGTTAATTAATATACCATTTATCTTTGTACTATATATACAACTTGAGATCGTACATTTTGGTAATTTGGATCGCAAATCCACTCCGTTTGAAATCAATGTACTAAGATTGTGGATCGTTANCTAACGCCGCGGTATAATTGCTCTAAATCTGACTTGAATGTAAACGTCTCGAATCGTGAAAATGATTTGTCCGCATATAAACACAAGATTACGTATTTTTAACTCTCACCTAACGCTATAAGCCTGTAACAACAAAAATCTCGTGTATTGAACCGTCTTACCTTAATACATCATGATATTTAGCTTAGATATTGTAAGAGTTATAATTAGGGCGTATTTGTTAACACAAATTTAACGTATAAAATAAATATATTCGGTATTTATTAATTAAGACCGTTTGCTAAGTAAAAGTAAATTATCTTAATATGTTAAGTACGTCTTAAAAATAGAGTAAAATAATAAGTAAAAAATTATTTATTTAATTTTAAAAGCTAAAAACGTTCAAGAGAAACATTCTTTATAATTTTTTTAATATAACAATTTTATTTTAAAATATTTTACAATCTTATTAAAATTATAAGAAGTCTTTTCTCTAGAATCTTCTAANTTATGCTTAGATTTTCTGATAATATATAATATTTTATAGGTAATTCTATAGCATTTTGTAGGGGTGTTCATTTATTCTATGGGTAGAAAATATGATCTTTCGTCTTTTTACTCAAAATTTTTCAAAAGAATTTTTTCTTTACATACTCTAACTGATCAAGTGTGGTATTTCTACTCGACTTCTGGCCAAATTAATCAAATAGAAAGTCGGGTAGGAAATCGGGTGAACACTTTTATAGTTATTAATTNTACACAAATTAACACACACCACACCCCCGACTACACACGCGCAAGCACATTTACACACGCAAAGATCACCCACACACATAGGGGGATTAACACAACTATTTTTTAATGTGATCAAATTTTTGAATTAGATTTAGGATTCTATTAAAATTGAAAAAAAAAATAAATTCTCTCAAAGAATTTTCTGAAAATTTGAAAATTTTATGAAAAAGGGATCAAAATTTATTCTGACTCCAAATATTGACAAATCCATTCATAAGCAACCATAATATATATATATTTTTAATAACCCCAAGTGACATGTGGCATGACTACAATATCAACAAAAAAAAAAAAATACCATGTCTAAAGTTACAACCATAATAATTTTATTGTCATATTTTTTAAATATAGACTACAATGTGATAATAGTGATTATAATTTATGAATTACTTTTAATGATATATCTTAATTTTTATTGGATAAATGCATGTTTCATAAATAACTTCAAATGAAAGAACAAATGAGTAAAACTCGAAAATAATTTATTTTTAGACATTAGCTTGATGTACTTATCAAACAATCTGATTCAATTCAGTTCTTAAATTTCAGTGTATGCCAAATAATTTACGAATTAAAAATTTAATATTTAACACTTAAAATTTAATATTCAAATTTATGAAACACCACATTAGTTGGGAGTGTATTTCATCAGAACATTGTTATTGGGACCTAATTTACTGATTTAATTCACTGTGACCTTTAGATTAACTGTGGGCTCCATCAAACATTAGAACTTGGTGTTTATCCAATGATTCTAATGAAGTCACATCATTAGGTTAACAAATTATGTCAAATTTTTAGGTCCAAATAGCATTTTTCATTCCATTATCCTCGTTATAAAATTATCTTTTAAAGGCCTGGAAAGTTGGGAAAGGGCATCGGACGGTGAGGAAGCTTCAAGAAGACGTACACTTTCAGAATACACAAGTTATTTATTATTCTACCGCAATTTAAAAATAAAATTATCAAAATTTGATATTTTTGAAATCCCCATAAGATCATGACACGTGGACGGTGGATATCATCAGTCTCTCTCTTCCACTCTCCTATAAATTGGGGTCATGGGTTCCTCTTGTAAGTCGTCCTACATTGAGTTCTTGTTTTACTTCCCATAATCTGCTTCTTATCTCCTCTCAATTCTCCAAGCTTCCTTTTAAGCAACTTTCTCTCTCCCTCTCTAGAAGAATGTCTTGCTGTGGAGGAAACTGTGCCTGTGGCTCAGCCTGCAAGTGCGGCAGTGGCTGCGGAGGGTAAGGCTTATTTCTCAATTTTTTTTTTTTTTACAGGTATGTTTGGTTCCCGAGAAAAAGAATAGACGTGAAAAGTTTTCGGTCCTGAAGCTGTTTGTTTTATCTTCCATACTCTTGTTTGTGTAATTGGTGATTTTACGGTACCGAAAATTACAACTGATCGATCATAAATTACTCTGTTTTAACTTTTTCTTTTTGCGAGTTGTAATTTAGGAACTATAGATTAGGTAAGTACCTTAAAAGTCGGAATCAATCTTATTATTTTTAGGATTAATAAGACAAGCAACTACTTAAAAAATTAATGATTGATTGAGGGGAAGGGTCAATTCCAAAATCATATTTTATCGTAATCTCATCCGATTAAATTGTAATTTCACTCTTTGTTTTCTAGCGACTTTGGGTGGGTTTGTCAATTGTGTTTGGTTGGTGAAGTGGGTTTGTGTCAAAAATTTTTTCATTCAGACCTGATTAATCATGTATAATTTATATATATAAATGAATCTAATCGTGTATTTTTTTTAATTAGTTTTATTTATATTTGACTTATTTATTAATTATATTGCGTCAATCCATTCGTTTACTAAATAGATATTTAAGAAAAATTGATAAGGGGTATTGGGTATGTGGTATAATGATACTCTTTATTTTGTAAAACATTTGTTTTTTTTGAGATCAAGAGTTCTACTTCCCTTTTTCCTTCCTAAAAAAAAAATTTGAACTTTTTAATTTCGTGTTATATTTTGACACTCTAATTTTGGATACAACATCAGAAATTAACTCGGTAGTGTAGTCTTTTTAAGTCTTTAACCCCCAACATCTGAGCAAATTTGTGGAAAATGGGTTGCAGAAGCAAGATGTACCCTGACATGAGCTACGCAGAGAGCACAACAACTGAGACCCTCATTGTTGGTGTTGCACCCCAGAAGATGTATGTTTTCTTCATAATTTTTTTTATATATATTTTTTTACTTTTTTTTTTTTATTTTTTGCCCCATAAAATGTTGTAATTTTTTTTTTTTCATTTTTTACAGTTATTCTGAGGGATCTGAGATGGGTGTGAGTGCTGAGAATGGATGCAAGTGTGGAGCTAACTGCACCTGTGATCCTTGCAATTGCAAATGAGCAAACAAATCACAGAGCCCTTGAAGCAGAGATGATGACCTCTCATAATATATATAAGCAGTAGTAGTAATTAGGTGTGTCCATGGTTGTGGGGGTGTAGGACAGGCTGGTGATGATGATGGTGAAGATAGGCCCTGTGCTCTGTAATAAAGTGGACATGTAATAAAGTGGACATGGATGGTTTCATGGTTGCTTTTGTGTCTTTCTTTTTGTATAAATGTTTTCAGTTATGGATGATGAGAGTCTCTGCTTGTAATGGGTAATTGAGTAAGATGGAGGAGAGAGTTTTTAATTGAATGGATTGAAACTCCTTTATTCTGCTAGAAGAAATATCTTCTTTTAATTGCTGTGAATTAAATTTTCTAATCTGTGCACCGTGGCGGGTGTGAATAGTGATGTTAATGGAGTCCATATTTGCGAACTTGAGTTCGAGTCTGATGAGTGTTTTTTGTTTTTTTTAGACGAGTTTAAAAAAATTGTTCTAATTAGACTTATTTAAAATTTGAGTTCATGTTGAGGTCGAGCATGAGTAGTTTGACTATTTAGCGTGTAAACAAACTAAATTTTGCGAGTTTGAGTTGAGCATATAAAATTGTTCAAGTTTAATTAATTTAAAAAACGGGTTCGAGTGGAATCTTATTTTAGCTGAGTTTGAATAGATTGTCTCACTTAATATCTCTGGGGGTGAATATGGTTTTCGCTCTCAAGCTGCAGCTTTAATATTTTTTTTTCTATTTTTAAAACATGTCATTGATCATTAATGAGGAATTTTATTTGAAATTAAGGTAAATGATTCATCAAGGAAAATAAAGAAAAATAGTAAGGGACTTTAAAAGGGGATCAACGAATTAGAATATAGAAAATGAAATGCATGGTGAATGAACAATAAATCAACTTTGTAATCTTAGACGTCAGGAATATTTAAGTCAATTTATACGTGTTTTGATTAATTATCTCTCTAATTCGGTCAAAGATAAATCATCCACGTTAGAACTAAAATATCATGAGAAATTAACTCCAAAAAATTGTTAAATTTTAAATTCTAAGCATTTGAATTTATAATTTATTATTGTTATCACTTAAACTAATAACCTATTTGACATAGGTTGCAACTTGAAAGTCAATGGTGCAGAGTTTTTGCCGTGTGGGGTTTGTTTTGAAAAGGAAAGGCAGTTTTTGTTTTGACACATTGCCTACGAGTTAAATTTGGAGGTTTCTAGATTAGATATAATTAGTATTATTATTATAATTATAATTATAATTATAATTATTAACTAGTATAATTATTTTTGTTAGGTTTCGGGCAAGACTACTGTTTTGTTTTTTTGGTTTTTTTTTCTCCTTATTTCAAACAAGCTTGTTTTGTTGTATCAAGTAATTTCATCTGATTGACTCGAAACCTCAATCGATTAAGCCATAGCTTATGTTATAATATAGTAAATATATATGCATCTAATATTACAGTTAGAAATTTAAATTCTCAACTTATAAAAACACAATAATAATTAAAATTAATTCAATTTTTATCTATTTTAATCCAATAATATAAAATTCATCTTAAATCTTTTTCTCTCTAAAAATCTTCTTTGCACGATCATCTATATTTTTTCGCTCCTCTATATTTTTCTTATTTTTTCTCTATCCACTTTGATTTTAAATTACATAATTAAAGAAAAGAAAAAAAATTACTATTTAAAATATAAATGTTTAACTTGCTCAATGTTTAGTTAAAATATAAATGTTTAACTTACTCAATTTTTAGTATTGTAAAATATATTTAGGCACGTATTATTCTTAGTATGTATATGTTGTAAGTGTCTCTTGACATTTTAGAAGTCCATTATTTCCCAGAGAGTAGCCCATGAAGATAAATGAATGTATGTGTATGTTTTTTTTTTCCTACTATTCTGTGCATGTAAAATGTCGATAAATATAAAGTGCGTATAAGTTGGTCCGAATACTCCAAATCATTAAATTAATAAAAAAGAAAAAAAAAGGTTGACAAATAGTGTATCCACCACGGATGCGTATGGGCACAAATATTTGGNAAAAAAAAAAAAAAAAGGTTGACAAATAGTGTATCCGCCGCGGATGCATATGGGCACAAATATTTGGTGATAATAGTTGATATATAAAATGTAGAATTGTAAGAAGTTTTGGGGTGGAATTGCACTTTGAATTCTGAAAGGTTTAAGAATTCTTGTATTATATTTTTAAAGATTAAATTTTAAGGACTAAGCTTCACTGGTACGTAACCCAGTTATTTGCACAAAGGAGCCTAGCGTACAGAATACAAAAGAAGGTCATTAGAGGGTTTTGATTGTTCTGTTAGTTTATGTTACTCTTTTCGTCAACATCAATGAAGTGATTTTTTATGGAATAAAAAACAAAAATTGACGAAAAGATCACAGTGCAACACTTTTAATAAATTTTACATATAATATAAAAAAATTAATTTTTCAAGATACAAAATAAAACATTTTAAATCNGACGAAATAAAAAACAAAAATTGACGAAAAGATCACAGTGCAACACTTTTAATAAATTTTACATATAATATAAAAAATTTAATTTTTCAAGATACAAAATAAAACATTTTAAATCTTTCAACATACAAAATAAAANTATGGAATAAAAAACAAAAATTGACGAAAAGATCACAGTGCAACACTTTTAATAAATTTTACATATAATATAAAAAAATTAATTTTTCAAGATACAAAATAAAACATTTTAAATCTTTCAACATACAAAATAAAATTCTTCCGAACCCTTGTCCTTTTAATTTAAAGCATGTCTACATATAATTGAGATCTTTTTTTGTGGTAATTATTATTTATACGATCATTATCAAATGTCATCTCATGTCTTCATAAGTTTTCATATTAGAGTAATACTAGATGGATTTAAAAATTAGATTTAAAAATTATACTTGATAATTTCAACCATTGAATAAATAGTGAGTCTTAATAAATGTTGGGACCCATAATAAAATTAATAATTAAGATTATCAAGTCTATTTTTTAAGTTCATGTAGCATTACTCTTCGTTAATACCTATATATTATGTGAGATGATGAANTACTTGATAATTTCAATCATTGAATAGATAGTGGGTCTTAATAAATGCTGGGACCCATAATAAAATTAATAATTGAAATTATCAAGTCTATTTTTTAAGTTCATGTAGCATTACTCTTCGTTAATACCTATATATTATGTGAGATGATGAACAAGTCGGTGACGTGGTTGTTGATGGGTTTACGTGTTAGTCAAACCAATCCTTTCATTAATGAACAAGCATGCTTGGGAGATGGTTATATCTACACATTGTCTCGCTCTTTACTTGTTAGATATGCACATACCCATGGGCCGGCTAAAGTGATTCTCTATATGCACTTTACATACAAAATATTTATTTGTGTGGTGAGAGAAGATGTAGTGGTTAGATGTNGCTCTTTACTTGTTAGATATGCACATACCCATGGGCCGGCTAAAGTGATTCTCTATATACACTTTACATACAAAATATTTATTTGTGTGGTGAGAGAAGATGTAGTGGTTAGATGTCACTTTCTAACATAAAGATTTGTATTTTCTTTTTTTTGGTATATCGAAAAGATATATATAAACAAGACGTTAAATAGAGTTCCTAGCAAAGANTTTTCTTTTTTTTGGTACATCGAAAAGATATATATAAACAAGACGTTAAATAGAGTTCCTAGCAAAGGCAACATTGATCATATCTGCTAACAAAAAATTAACTAACTGGGGAGGGGGCCTAGCAAAGGCAACATTGGCCATATCCCAGAGAAGCCAAATGCCCCCAGCTCTTCCATCCGGTTCCATAATCTGAGAGACTATAAGCCCATACTGGTTGAAGAATACCCATTTGATTACTTTGGATTTTAGTCTCTAAAAGCACAACCACATCTGGTTTGTGAGCCCTGAACAGATCATTGAACTCCCTCCTGAACTTCTCGTTGCCTGTACCCCTACAGTTCCAAACAAAAATTTTCATGGAAGACATCATTAAAAAATGGGAAAGAGGAGTAGAACTGTCAATATCCAATTTATTTCTAGCAATCTCGCTAAACTCCTCGATTGAGATTGTTGGTCTCAATGAGACAGCTGTGGTCTGACTTTTTGCTTCTGTGAGCTTGCATGGTTCCACCACAAGAATGGTTGATTCCATTGCCCAGTGAACTAGAACAATTCATTTGCTCTCCTCCTCCGACTCCATCAAGTTGTCTTGAAGGTGTATGTCTTCAATAGGGAGCTTTCCATTGTTTATTTCTCTGTTGTCCACTCCTGGGTCTGGGGGTTTTGGGTTAAGAATGTCTGCGTCTGGTTTATTCAGATGATCAGTAGAGGAGAAGAAGGGTTGAGGATGGTGAGGAAGGGGTAAGGAATAGATTCAGAGTTGAAAGGTAGGTACATAGAGTCATTAGGAACTTGTCGCCCTACACTCCCTCCATACACCCACCTCTGATCTTCTAGGTCCATTAGATTGGAGCCAGATTCCAATGCATTACAGTAGCCCTTCGATCTCTGTAACAGATCTGACTCTTCAGGGGTTCTCTCTTGAGGTTTGTGTGTAATGGGTCGGGTCCTATCCGGAGTTGAGACCTGTTCCCAGTTCCTTCTAGAGCCCGCCTGTTGACCTTTCTTGGAGCCTTGGTTATGTCTTTGGGTTGGGTTACCTTGTTCTAGTTCAACATTTTGGATTTGGTTTGCCTCTTGAGTTTGGTTTTGAAGAGCCTAGAATTTGTTGGATTGGCCCAATCCTTTTTAAGGTAACTAGTTCTTAAAACCTTGTACTCTTTTTCTTATGGGTTAGGCAATCAACTAAGGCCCAAACTCTACATCATCTTTCTTCCCATTGAAACTCACATGGATTGAGTCTGATTTGTCTTGTGACCGTTGTAGAACTTCAGTGGTAACGGCTCTATCACTCTGCATGTCTTCTCCAGCAGGAGCTTGTTTTCCGGCTACCATCGGAGGGTTTATTTCTTNGCTTTCGTCCCATTGGAACTCACTTGGATTGAGCTTGAATTGTCTTGTGACCGTTGTAGAACTTCAGTGGTAACGGCTCTATCACTTTGCATGTCTTCTCTAGTTGGAGCTTGTTTTCCGGCTACCATTGGAGGGTTTATTTCTTGATTATGGGGGCAGAAGGCTTTCATTTGGCCAATTATTTCNTTCTAGCAATCTCGCTAAACTCCTCGATTGAGATTGTTGGTCTCAATGAGACAGCCGTGATCTGACTTTTTGCTTCTGTGAGCTTGCATGGTTCCACCACAAGAATGGTTGATTCCATTGCCTANCATGGTTCCACCACAAGAATGGTTGATTCCATTGCCTAGTGAACTAGAACAATTCATTTGCTCTCCTCCTCCGACTCCATCAAGTTGTCTTGAAGGTGTATGTCTTCAATAGGGAGCTTTCCATTGTTTATTTCTCTGTT